TTGCCTTCCTGATATTTTAATATGGATGTGCACATAGCATAGCAACTATGAAAGTGGAATCGGCACACAAATATTATTTGGAATGTTATGAATCCATCTCTTCTCTCACAAGCTATGGGTTAAGCAACAAGACAGATTTAACTCTCTCTGTCTAGCCTTGGTTAGCAACAAGTCAAGAAGGATAACTCTGAATTGAAAACCAGTTAGGTACAGGGTTGAAAAAAAGAGCAGCAACACCCAATGTAGTGAGGCTGTGTCCCTATGCTCCACAGAGGAGTCTAGTGACACTAAGGAATAAAAAGGAATATTTTAATCTGTATCAACAAGTGATTCAGCTAATCTTATTGTATTTAATCCAATCATCAAGAAAATTTTTAGAAATTAGGTCATTGCTGTTGTTAAAACTGCTTTTCGTCTACACAAACTTTTCAAGGTTTATTGACTTTCAATAATATTAGTTAGGGTGACTATTGTCATGCTATTCTGAAAGTACTTTAGATTCAGCTTTTTTTTATTATTATTTTAGATGGTAAATTTCAGTGTTGACATGAAGCACCTTTTGACTATGAAGAGCATCTCAAAAAAAGTTTTGATAATTCAATTTCAATATCAAATATCTGAAATATATTAACCATTTAGAATTCAAACCCGGCCTATAAATATCGGCTCTCAAAGTCTCACTGTTTATGATCAAACTTTCACTGACTTCCTGTGTTATTTGTAATGATTTCATATATTATGGTGGAGTATACATGGGGCAGGTTATGATGGGTTGAACATTGAGAGCTGATATTTATAGGATGGGTTTGGCATGTTATATGCTAAAGAGTTAAACCTCTTTCAGAGAATGATGACCAGCTTACAGAAATTGTCTAGAAAATCAACTTGAATTGGCATCCTAACTCTGTAGAATATAATGCAAAAACAAAAAAAAAAAACAAACAAAAATCTGTCTCTGTTTGTAAAACTTACACTTTTGCTGAGGCAAGGACCCCCCCCCCATATTTGATGGGATATAAGGCACCTTCTACTCTGTATTTACATTTAATATTACAGCATTATGGAGTTAGGCTAAATTCAAATATTGGTAGTCTATGGCTTCTGGGTAAATATTAGCCTACCAGATATATCAACTTAGACCCAGAAGTTTCTGAGGCATTTGTTTTGTTTTTTTTTAAATGTGAGATCTTATATAACATCAAATATGATATATAAATATGTACAAGGTGTTTGTGTGTGTGTGTGCAAGAGAAATCCATGATAAAGATCATCCTAGGTATGACGATAAACTACATCTCCGTCTTGGATAAGACGATAAACTGTCCAACCGCAAGGCCTCTGATCAGGAGGTTTTGAAAAGCGTGGAACCACCTCTTATGTTCCCAGGTCCCCCCTGACCTGGGGCGGTAGTATCTGTTAGGATCCCAGCTATGGGCAAATAGTTAACCCCTGCCAAAATGGGTCAGAACACTATGAAAATGTAAAAATAGGTTTTAATACCAGAAATACTTTGTAAAAAAAAAAAAATTACCAGCAATATGTTTTTGAAAACAAAAACAAATATTACCAGCAATACATTTTTGAAGAAAAGAAAAAAAAAGAAAATTACCAGCAATACATTTTTGAAGAAAAAATATTAGCAGAAATAGATTTTTGAAGGAAAGGATATTACCAGAAATAGATTTTTGAAGGAAAGGATATTACCAGAAATAGATTTTTGAAAAAACAAAAATATTACCAGCAATAAAAATTTTGTTGTCCTTAAATAACCCATTGAGGTTCATATGCTGTAAACCAAACCATGATAAAGATGATAAATATACCATGGAATATCAAAAGAACTGTTTACATAAAATTGAAAATAAATCTGAGAAAGTTAATGACTGTCTGAATAAAATGTGGCCTTTCTGTGAAATAAACAAACTTACAAATTACTATATTTTGAGGCACAAAAAAAACCCATTGGTATATAGCGGTGGTCTCCAACCTTTTTTATACCTTGGACCGGTTTCATGTCTGACAATCTTTCCACAGATCAGTAGTGGCACATATGTGTAATTTAAGTGCATTTCGATAAAGAGAGCAATAATAAAAAGAGCAATTTATTAAAGGGAAGAAAAAGTATATAATCTTTTTATTCTTATGTCTGGTCTTCAGGCTGATGACACCCTTGCATGCTTAGTTTCCCTGAATCAATACCTTTTACACTATTATCACATCAGTAATCAAATCACCATAAGATAGAATCAATGTAGAATCTGAAAATTAGTTGGAAATTATTACAAATAAATAAAAATATACATTAATTGTAAAATGTACTTACAGTTAAGATAGATAGTATTGAGTAGATGAATACTGAAGATTTAAACAAATCTTTTTAAATTAAAGTCCAATATTCAATTTATTTATTATATAATTTTAAACAAGTTAATTATTTCTTTACAGTCTGGTAGCAAATGATCTACAGAATGGTACCAGTATATAGGACATAACTTAAACTTCATATGAAATAGATGGAAAAAAAAATTGATTTTTTTTTTCTTTTTATTTTTGTCTGCCCTGCACTGAACTGGGTTATTTGTAGACCCCCAAGTGTGAATTTCACCATGCAAGGTAATTTTAAAGGTCAGGATTTTAGAAAAAAAAAAAAGAAGAATTGCATCTCAGATGCTGTAAAATAGATTAAACTTTGCTTTTATATTGATGTCCTAATGTTAAGAAAGATAAACCATTTTATCACTTGAATTAAAATTTTACAGCTTTTTCAATTATTTGAATTTACGATCTGAAGGACTCGAATGATAAACTTGGATGATATGCACTTCCATCAGAATCTTGGAATGAGAAGATATTTAAATTCCCAAATTTGGTTGAATATCCTTAGAGCCAGAATTTCATTTAACATTTTCAGACATTGATAACAATAATATTGACAGTAATGATATCACAATGTTGCTATTATTGCTGTTGATAATGACAGCAATAACTTATTTTGGATAATAGAGAAAGTAGAAGAAAGAATGTCAAGGAATCTCTTGTCTGTGATGGCATTGGATGTCTTAAGTGCAGCTGTTTTAAAAGATGACTAACAATATGGCAGCTTCCTGTTGTCTCTTTTATTGCTTTCTTTAATCATTTACACTTTTGTTTTTCTTATTTTTGTTCACTTTTTTTCTTTCTTTTTTTCTTCCTGGTATAATTTCTTACTGTTTACTTACATCAAAATTGGTAGAAGCCAATGAGTAGGTATCTGGCTTCTTTTTCTGTTTCTTTAAATCTTGGTTCTTCATTTTTTTTTTTCTTTACTTCTTCTTTATAACCTTTTCATTAGTCTTTTTTTTACCTTCCTTTTTATTTTATTTTTCATTCCTCCCTTCCTACCAATTTTCTTTCCACCTTACTTCTTTGTTCTTTCTCTTTTTTTTTTTTTTTTTTTTGTTTTTTTTAATTTTTCTTTTTTTTCTTTCCTCATGTAATTCTTTTTGTTTTTACTTCTGTCTTCTATTTATATGAATTTTAACTCTTCTTTATTGCTTGCTTTCTTCTTTCCTAAATTACTTTTCTTCCTTTGTTTCTAGGACAAAATGTCCATTTCTTTTTAGTATCCACTTGTCTTGTCATTGACCAGTGCATCTATCCGCTTCTTTCATTTCTTAGTTGACCGATATCATCATTGTTGTATTCCTCATTCACGTTTTTCAATTTTGTTAGCCAGCAACACATGACTGTAAACAAGTCTGTGCAAGCAAAGTTTGTTGAAGAGGTTTTCTACAACTCTTTTCACTCTCTTTCACTGGAAGATATTTACTGTCGCTCGTGTTTTTTTCTTCTTTTTTTAAAGTTACCTCCAGGTGTTTTTGTATCTCTCTCACTGAAAGATACCTCCAGATCTCTCTCTCTCTCTCCCTGACATCTACTGCCGGGTATCTCTCTTTCTCTGTCTCTCTGTAAGCTACCTCCAGTTCTCTCTCTTTCTCTGTCTCTCTGTAAGCTACCTCCAGTTCTCTCTCTTTCTCTGTCTCTCTGTAAGCTACCTCCAGTTCTCTCTCTTTCTCTGTCTCTCTGTAAGCTACCTCCAGTTCTCTCTCTTTCTCTGTCTCTCTGTAAGCTACCTCCAGTTCTCTCTCTTTCTCTGTCTCTCTGTAAGCTACCTCCAGGTCTCTCTCTTTCTCTGTCTCTCTGTAAGCTACCTCCAGGTCTCTCTCTTTCTCTGTCTCTCTGTAAGCTACCTCCAGGACTCTCTCTCTCTCTCTCTGTAAGCTACCTCCAAGTCTCTCTCTTTCTCTCTCTGTAAGCTACCTCCAGGTCTCTCTCTCTTTCTCTCTCTGTAAGCTACCTCCAGGTCTCTCTCTATCTTTCTCTCTCTCTCTCTGAAAGCCACCTCCTGGCCTCTCTTTTCCTCACTCTCTGAAAGTTGTCTTCTGTTTTCTCTTTTACTCTTTCACTGAAAGTTTGACACACTCTGATAGATATATACCAATGCACTGAAAAATATTGATGCTTGTACATGAGAATAAATTTTGATATAAATTCATATTGCCATGCAATTTCTCTATCCTGATTCTATCCAAGTGAATGTTCTAAAGTACACATAGAAATAATCTAAATGATGTGTATGACTAAACACAAAAATATACAATAATTCAAGAATCATTTTCTGATTTTCTCCTTCAATTATATTTATAGTCTCATCAATAAATATTCTGTAAAACCGTCACTTTCTTTCTCCCATGCATATATAGACTTGTCTTTTTAACAAAGATGTGCAGGCAATGGCTTCTGAAAGGCAAATTTTCATGTTTACAATGAAGTTTTATTTGACAAAATTTTGTAGTGAATGGCACCTGCTGGTAAATAAACAGATGTGCAAACTCTATCTTGCTTTCAAAGAGGCTACCTGCAAATTCAGCTGTTCTCACTCTGGAAGATATTTACTCTCTAAGACTACCATTCTATCAAAGTTAACACTAGATGTACTTCTCATAATCTCCCTCAGCTATATGTATTTCTACCAGTCTTTCTCTTTCCATGAGCTGTCTGTAAGCCTCTCTCTCTCTCTTTCCATGAGCTGTCTGTAAGCCTCTCTCTCTCTTTCCATGAGCTGTCTGTAAGCCTCTCTCTCTCTTTCTTTCCATGAGCTGTCTGTAAGCCCTCTCTCTCTCTTTCCATGAGCTGGTAAGCCTCTCTCTCTCTCTTTCCATGGTGCTGTCTGTAAGCCTCTCTCTCTCTCTTTCCATGAGCTGTCTGCCTCTCTCTCTCTCTCTTTCCATGAGCTGTCTAAGCCTCTCTCTCTCTCTTTCCATGAGCTGTCTGTAGCCTCTCTCTCTCTCTTTCCATGAAGCCTCTCTCTCTCTCTTTCCATGGTGCTGTCTGTAAGCCTCTCTCTCTCTTTCCATGAGCTGTCTGTAAGCCTCTCTCTCTCTTTCCATGAGCTGTCTGTAAGCCTCTCTCTCTCTCTCTTTCCATGAGCTGTCTGTAAGCCTCTCCCTCTCTCTCTCTCTTTCAATGAGCTGTCTGTAAGCCTCTCTCTCTCTCTTTCCATGAGCTGTCTGTAAGCCTCTCTCTCTCTCTTTCCATGAGCTGTCTGTAAGCCTCTCTCTCTCTCTTTCCATGAGCTGTCTGTAAGCCTCTCTCTCTCTCTTTCCATGAGCTGTCTGTAAGCACCCCTCTTTGTCTCTCTCTCTGTATGACCTGTCTGTAAATGCCTCTCCTCTCTGTAAGCACTTCTCTCTCATCTGTCTCAAAACATCTCTCTCCATCCCTACCTCTCTCTCTCTCCCCATGAACTCTGTAGGCATCTATCTAAGCCACTTAGGAAAGAAGCCCTGTCTCTCTCAAATTCTTTCCTTTTTAGTATAGTCTCTCTCAACAATTTCTTTTCCATGTATTTCAAACTTCTTTTCCTTGTAAATCTCTCTCGATTTCTGTGCACTGCTTGTTTCCATGACAATTGTATTGATCTTAATGATATTTCTGTCTCTTTCTCTCTCATAGATGTTTTTGTGGAAGGTTCTGATATAGCTTCTTACCAACTTCTTATTCTGGTTACTGAATACCATTCAATCCCAGCCCCATTTGTTTACCCTTACCTCTTTTTCTACCTTTGAAGATCTGGCTAATATTATCCGCATTTAATCAAGCATCAAAGACTGGTCTTGCTCACCAAATAATCATTCTTTGCTAAAAAATCTCATTTCTGTTGCTGCTGTCTTTGTCCAAGTTGGCTAAGATATTTATGGTTGTGTGCAGTTGGTCCACAGAAACAATGTTTTCTTTTTGAAAGATGTGACAGTATCTCTCTTGAAGAGGCTATCACCATTTTTGCTTTCTCTCTTTCTCTCTCTCTCTCTGGAAAATATTTTTGCTATTTTTTCTTAACAAGTAGGTTGTTTCTGGAAATTATTTTAGGTGAGCTATAAATGGGTTTTCTTAAATTGTTTATGCAGCCTTGTGAGGAATGGTATTCTATACTCTATATCCTTTTTCATAAACGCAGCATTGCAAACCTATTTCTACTTCTATGGTATATATTCAAATGAGCTCCATTCTTTAGTATCAGCTTAGAACTTTGTGGCCAATGATAATAATTCAACTCTGTGGACATAGTAAAGGAGGTCCTTTACTATGTCCACAGGATTGAATTATTATTATTCTCTGTATTCTTTTGGTAAGGACACTCAACTCGGAAAACTTTTTATCAAGAACCACCACTCCTGCATGTTAATCACTTCAAGTCTAGGGTCAATCATTATCTATCCATCGTCATATCCACGTAATCTTCACACACCTCATTCACTAGTTCTCTACTTTGAGTCAATCTTGGGACTTGTATTAAGTGAGCTTTAATATTTTTTTAACGCATTTTAAGAACTTGAGGAAAAATTGAACTTGTTTGATAAATATATTTTCTCTTTACCAATCATTCCTGATGAAACAGGATCTTGCCCTGATAGTATTGTCATTCAGTGACAACACTGGACAACAGAAGGATATTCCTTGAAGAGAAATTTCAGTCAGGAAAGGAGACAAGACATCTACTGCCACTGCTTAGAACATATCCATTAAACTGAAGAGTGGGTGTCTAATATCTTCAGAAATTTGTTAGCCAAGGATAGTGAGTTCAATCCTTGGTAGGACCACAAGAGTCAGCTTAGTTAACAAATTACTATATATGGCTATTATCCTTAGCTTTCTTCTTGAAGACTATCAGAGGCAGATGATACTGTGAATTATTCTCTAGTGACTTTTAAAATATATTGCTTTTTTTTTTTAAACTTGGATATATCAACATCTCTATGGGTCACATTGATAAAATTTTCAATATATCAAACAAAATACATGGTTTAAAGTCTGAATTTGTTTTATCATGAAAAGTAATATTCTTATTTTATAGTGCCACCTGATGACAGGGTCACATCCTTGGTCACAAATGAATGTAAAGTGTTTTGCTTGCCGCCTACACCTGGTGGTATAACCATGTTTTAGTGGTCTGGTCCTCACAGTTTTAGAATAATGTTTTAACCATGGGGCTAACTCTGTGCTGGTTAATGCTGTTTCTGGTCCAAGATGGTTGTTGGTTGCTGGCTGCTTTGATCCACACTGACTCTGCCTATGCTGTGTTCTTGATCTCAGAAGAGTGGAAAATTGAAGGTCACAGTCTTGTATCACTGGTTCAAGCCATGGCAAATGCTATATTAAGGAAAAAAATATCTTCACAATGAAAAATAAAACTAGAGATTCATGAGGTTAATCTTCAGTTCATTCATATAGCTCTTGGTATAACAAAAATTAACCCTTCCCACATCAATCTCTATTGATACACTGTGACACTGGGCCTTTTCTAAATTTTTGGAGGAGCTGGGTTCAAAGTCTTGGAATCAGGAAATCTGGTGGCAGCTTACATGGATTTGAGAGGGATTCAATGTGGGTTCTCAGCCAAAAGTCTCCAAGCTCCACAAAGTCATATACACTTTAGCCCAAAATTGCCATTGGCCTGAAGGGTTCTGGGGATTCGGTGATTCCACAATTTTCATTAATTCCAATAAAGGTTTTCCTTGTTCCCTGTTTCTGCTTTCTTAATCAATTTTCCAAATTTAGAGAATTATCCACCTTCTTTAGGAGTAGTCACAGAGATTGCTTCTCCCTTAACTCCAACCAACTTCACTTCACATATCACACCACTACTCTGAATAGGTGGGACTAAATTCTGCTCCTTCCTCATTGGTATTCCAACTCTGCCCACTTCTCAGGGCTGGCATAAATGTCTTTGTGAAATAGCTAATTTTTAAAGTACCTAAGAGAAAGGGTGTGGTTTAATTTTCGCCAGTGGTATATGTTTCTCTGATTTCCCAAGAAAGAGATAAAGCCATTTCCCCAATTTGCTTTACCCACACATCAGATTTTTGATAAATAGAAAAAAAGTAAACTCTTGGTGCATCATTCCAGTTCAAAAAAAAACCTTCAAGGTTCTTGTAGGAGCTGATTGGGTAAGAATAGTTATATAGACACATGCAGAACTGACAACTTGCTAAGCAGTCTTTTCATTTATTAATAGACTACATTTAAACAATTTCTTAATGGTGCAAAACTGTAGCTTATTGGAAATTACTATTAAAAAAAGAAAAGAAGTTAAAGTAAGTTCTCTTAAGTAGTTAGCATTTTGATTGACACTTATCAAAGCAGATCACTGATAAATTTAAAAGATTAAACAATAAAAAGAAATTGCCAAGCCAAGCACATATTTATAAATATACAAGTTTGGTAGCCTTATAATTCTGCTTGTCCTTCTCTTAATTCCTTAGTTAGCACATAGGTACATTATGCTCTCCCAATACCTCATAAATAATAGATTATTCTGCTTTGAACAAGATGGAAAGGACATATCAGAGATGCTAATTGGTTTCTGTGAGAAAATGGAAGAAAAGATAGAAGCAGCTATAACACTCATGTGTTTGGCATCTGTTTCAGTGAAATGGAAAGATGTTGTCTATTTCAAATCTTTTCATTTGTATCCCCTTACTTTAAATAATGACCAGCATTCATACTTATGATTTTTATTGTAATATTTTGTTAAAGTTATTAAGCTCAAATATTAAATAATAGGAGAATTTTTACAGATATTTTATTGTCTTTCTGTGAAGTGAAGAGGTTTTGTTTGTCACTAGCAAAAATTCATAAATGATAGTCATGAAAATGTAGAAAAAAATAGTGTTTTATAGCTGAAAACTTTGTCTGTGCAATAGTGTTATTGTGCTTCCTGTATCTCAAGAAAGTCGAGTGTCTCACTTGGTCTGTTGAGTTTAAGAGTCTGATTTGCCAATTATTTCCAGATAAACTGATGAAGTCAAATGGACTTTTTTGGAATGTACTCTGTGTTCATAAGTGGAATTAGTCTTATTGACAATTGTTTATCCACTAAAATGATAGTCAATGTCATATTAATTATGATTTCAACAAACAAAATCCTACAGAAAAAAAATCAAAATGATAGTCAATGTCATATTAATTATGATTTCAACAAACAAAATCCTACAGAAAAAAAAATCAAAATGATAGTCAATGTCATATTAATTATGATTTCAACAAACAAAATCCTACAGAAAAAAAAAATCAAAATACACCGTCAGAAATTTATTATGCAAGTTATTGTTTTCACTATGCAATTGTTTACCAAACAATCTTGGTAACAGTTTCAGGATATATTTATCACAGATATGTTATGTGAATTTCAGCACATAATCTGTTTATTAGAAATATTTACAGTGACTTAGTTGATGCTGTGGGCATGTGAAGGTCGTGTAATTGTTAATGACTTGGAAAGAAAAATTGGCAAGCAGTGTTAAAATTCCACAGAAGTTTGTTACCTTCACTTTTGCACAAATACTCTTGAGAAAAGTAGGAATCCGTCTCTTCTCCCCCTAGCTATGTATTAAATAGCAGGATTGACTGGGCTCTCGTGCCTTGAGGTGGCAACCAGTATAGGCAAAGGAAAACTCTGAATTCAAAATCAGACTGAAGAGGGATGGGTTTTATCAAACTATTTTCCTAGGGCTGCAGTACATGTGGTGCCTCTATGACTCTAATGGGTTGTGGAACTTGTAATATGATAAGAGTTGATGCTTTAACTTGGTTTGTTTATATTATAAAGTTATAATAAGCCATATATAGTTACTTTATATTTATTTCTTAATTTCTGATGTATAAAGATTACCGTAGGTTGTAAGAAAGATGTAAGTTCAAAAGAGAAATAAGATATTATTAAATTATTGAGTAATGACAATGCAGTATTGGAAATTGTACAAAAATTGAACAGAGATCATAGAACAATAAAAAAAAGAAATGTAAAACATTGGCAAGGTAAGAACGAGAAGAATGTTACAAAAAGTAATTTGAGAAAAAATCAAAAGGTAATTAGCAAAATAATTAGTGACTAGGAAGCAAATACTTGAAGTTCATTTTTTCAAATGGAAATATAAAAGATTCAGAATAGTAAAAACATTGGCTAAAAAGAATGCAAGCAGAGCTTCATTGGATGTACCTACTGCTGGGAGTAGAGACTAAGACATTTGTGGAAATAGACAACCAATATGACTTAGAAAACAACAGTGTGGACAGTGTAATGTTTTGTAATACTAATGTAGACATTAAACATTTAGGCCACCTTTAGAGTAGATAATAGTATCAAGATAAATGCAAAGAATTAATGCAATCTCTTGAACAAGATGTTTTTGAAGGGTACTGGTCATAACCAAGATTCTTTAAGCTAAAGAATATATGCATGCAAGACAATGCTTCTTCACCAAAGTTGACTATAATCCATCCCAAGAAAACCAAATTATTTATTCAATCAAAATACCAAATTAATAGAATGAACTCCAGATATTAACTGACAAAAAAACTTGTGGTTCATCACTAAAAGAAGTATATGAGAATAGAAAGAAAATAATGGAAAGCAATAAAAAACTGCAAGTAATGTTTAAGTTGAAACAATAAAGTTAAAAATATCAATGGAAAAAGACTGATGAAGGTTATAAAATGTCAAAGAGCCCATATTAAAATGAAAAATAAAATAATTTATTCAGATATATAGAATTTTGTATTAATCTGTTTGTGTGGCTTTGTCTATTTTTTATTTATTTGGAAATAAAATTTGCTGGTGCACTTAATTTGTTTGCCTAATAAAACCTGATATTCCCAAAGCACGCTATTAATATTTTTTTAATAAGGATAAATATTATAAGCTGAAAATCATAGTGTATTGTTCATACGAATATAAGAATATATAGAAAATATTACCAACATTGATGGGTTAATACCAGTTTTATTGTGAAAACATTATTTCAAAATCTGACACTATACATTCATTCAGTTCTTCAAAAATC